TGTAAATTCCCATTCTTCTTTCTTTGCTTTAAGCTTGTGGAGAAACTGAGAAAGTATAAGCAGGAAATGTATGACCATTCTCACTACATATTCTATTACAATTTGAATAATTTTTATGAAATGTGCAAGTTCTTTCATTCCCAAAAATCCCCAAGGAGGGCAATTATATGTATTCAACTGGGCATTCCCAGCATTAGAGTAAACTCATCTATAACCAAAATTAATAAACTATTAACCGAACAAGAGCAGTACCATCAATTGCTTCATATACCAATGCTCTTCTGTTCCTCCCCAGTCACAAGGTGCAGACAGCAACAACAAAGACAATTCTTAACCTCGTAACTCCATCCTTCCCACCCTTGCATCTTCTCAGAACCCCTTTCCAATCTACCGTCCTTGAGGGATAAGTACTTTCTAGCTGCAACGTCTGTAGGACTCATTCCTTGAGATTTGAATATTGTCATTAAACAATACGAGCTAAGAAGCTTACATTAACAAAAGCTATGACTCCACTTTTATACATTTTAGTAGCTACTGTTTGAGACCATAATAGCAAACCTTCCTCAATACCTATAAAAGACAGAATATAACCCACTCAATATAGAACCAAACCAGAAACATAATGCTAATTAAATGCACTGAATCAATCAAACATAAAACCCATGAGCGGGTGGATGAGTTGGTAGGGAACTCTTCCAGTTTAACCAGAGGTCTTGGTTTCAAGTTCTGAGAATGCAGTTCCATTAAAACTTGTGAGAGAGAGCTTCGCCACCCATTGGGTCCTGCCCGACTCGAATCCGGATTTAGTCGGTGACCCAATGGGCTTCCGGATATCGGGTGATCTATACAAAAAAAAAAATCAATCAAACATAAAACAGATAGCCAAAAAAAAAAAAAAAACACACCAGGCATAATGCAGGGGATTTTTATTTAGATCAGCAATTAGAATTTTATTTATATGTGAGTGTAAAGACTACTCAAACCTTTACATTGTTATAATACTTAGTACGTTCTTCCCAAGAACAACAGTCTATGGTTAAATTTCAAAATACATACCTTGTCTCCTCCATAAGTTTTTCCTGAAATAGATTAGGTACCTGCCATATCCTAAACTCCGCCTAGCCATCATTTCCATGAAATTTGAATCACTAAAAATGACAAACTTCGCATATACTGCTCACCTACAACTCATCCTAAACAAATTATAAAGATGGATCAGAGCACCCATTCATCACCAACCACAGCAAGGCAAATAAGATAGACATGGTACTATACTGATTCATACCTCTGCTGCAAATGACAGCAACTCAAGGATTATGGCAACATAGATTAACCTGATAGATTTGAGAGCCTTCTAAGTCTCTTTATAAAGTAGTTGTTGATCCCAAAACCCTTTTGGTGGTACTACTTTCTGTTACAGAAATTATATCATATCTAACCGAGTACTAGCATTGATCATCAAGCAACATTAAAAAAAAATCAAACAACCCAAAGCAAGGAATTTCAACCTTAGGTGAATAAGTAATGAACCAAAAACCTATAAAACAAAAGGATTAGAATATTGATGAGATTAATGAAGTAACACAGAAATCAACATAGGATTGGAAACAAAAAAAGGGAATGAAGAAGCTCACCTACATGCTGAACGCTAGGTCCTTTTTCAATTGTGAACCCTAGCTCGTAGGAGAGGAGTGTGTAACATTGTGTAGGAGTGGAGGAGGAAACATTAGAGCCTCTGGTGGCAAAGAGCTCCAGCGGCCATGAGCTCCAGTTGAGGGAGAGGAGAAGAGGACTTGGCGAAAGGGATTGCAGAGGAAAAGGTTCTCAACGGAAGAGGTGAAAAATCTTCCTTTAAGTGAAACACGGTTGTTTCATTAAGGTCGCCCTGCTTGTCCCTTCGTATCTATTTATTTAATAAAAAAAAGTGTTTTAGAGTCAAAACTGACAGGATTGTAAAATATTAATCATTGGATAAAAAAAATTAGGTTCTTGGTGATGTAAGCCATCCTCCTTTAGATGATACAATCCTGTTCAGTCTAATAGTTATTTAATATTATTTATTTAATAATATATAAAAATATAATAAAAAATTTATGCACATATTAAAAACAACAGTAGAAGGGGAGATGCAGACCACGTCAACATTTTAGTGACACAAAAGACTAAATTGCCCAACTTTTCAAAAGTTACTAATGTGATTGAATTGACCAAGAAAATTCTAAGGACAAAATAGACTAAAATCTGGAGAGCAAACATTACGTAAGCAATATATTTGCATAAACGGAGGAGACGCCAGCATGAAACAAAGCTTCTTATTTAGCAAATCATAGTAATTGACATGAGAATCAATAAGGAATGTAACAATCAACCTGCCAGGTCTCGCATTGAGTC